CCTCAAGGCGTACATCGTGAGGTTCCGTAAGGGACCATTCCATGATGGGGTCCGCGATAAAATAGAGCAAATGGGGCGGTTGGACAACCCTGACGAACGCCACTTGTCGGAAAGATATCCTACAAGTCACCGTAGTCCCTTACGCGGCAACACCTTTCCGAGAAAGTAATTCGAACATATTGCATCGATCGAGTGGATCGAACGCACTTTTAAAGTCCAGGAACACAGCCATCGTCAGTTTGCGGCATACGTGGTGCTCTATCGCGACGAGACTGAACCTTAACCTGCTGCGATGCTTTGTGTGCCTCAGTGATCCATTGAGCTATGCTGGGTGGTGCTTTTTTGCACGTTTAGAGGCACATATACCAGATTGATCAATGGTTAGACTCCTCTCAAACTCAGTCTCATTGTCCTTCAGCTTGGGGGTTGGAACGAGGGTGGCTCATTACTCCATAAAACGGGCTCTCTGTAGTCCAGTGCCAAAACCCTGCTCCTTTGCGGCAAGGTTTTTGAACCAAAGACTGGTTGTGAACCTTAATCGTTTTTCTGTCTAGGCTTGGGCACTCTGACAGTATTCTGCCCACGCAATACAACACACTGAATTTCCTTTCAAACAATCTCTGGATGCTCTGGCCGTCACAGATGATACTCAACGACGTCCTATCTGCTGCATCGAACAGAGTGGACAGGGGTTTGAATGTCACTGCTCAAGCCTTCCCATCTTCTTATCCCCCTTGTGCTTCTTCGTCGTTATCGTCTCACTCCAACTTTATTTTTCTCCGCTCATTTTCAATCCCCCAATTCTTGGTCCTGTTATGGTTAGAACAATTCTAACTAACCCAACCACCATGATCATCGATCAGCCGCTATCGATCACTGTATTGAACACTCCGTCATAGCCAGAGCAGCGTCCACATTTGGCATTATAGGCTGACGCAGTACGGTTGTCCGACTTCAGGCCTGTAGCCCAACTTGGTCAAATACAGATTCTGGAAATGTGCCCATTCTTTTAACTCTGGGTTGCAACAGTTTGCCGACGGAGGTTGGATGGATCAAGACGGTGTTTTTACAGTGACTTCGAGTGTACTTTTTTCACAAGCACATGAGCAATTTGGAGCCGCTCGGTTACACATGATCTGGATTTCACCAGACACTTATCTGTCCAGCCAAGTGGAGATTCGGCTCTTACTCATGATTAAGACCGTCACTCGAAATTATATTTTCAGCTGGCAGTTCTCAAGCAATTACGAATGATCGGGACAGTCACTCAACACTTGCTTCTTCAGTCGTCAGGTGCCAGAATACCGAAGAGCCTTCAGTTGACGCAGAAAGTAACAATGTCTCACAACAAATGTTTTGAGCTCCAAATAAGGGACAGCAGCAGTCCGTTCCCTTGCAACTGCAACAGTTCATGTGTCAGAAGACCCTCGGAAATGTCAAGCAACAACTACTTTTCTTTGTGTTCTTTGTGTTATGGTTAGAACAATTCTAACTAACCCAACCACCATGATCATCGATCAACCGCTATCGATCACTGTATTGAAAACTCCGTCATAGCCAGAGCAGCGTTCACATTTAGCATTACGCGCTGACGCAGTACGGTTGTCCGCCTTCAGGCCTGTAGCCCAACTCGGTTAAATACATAGATTCTGGAAATGCGTCCATTCTTTTCACACCGGGTTGTAACGGGTCCTCCTTTACCTTGCTTCATTAGTCGCTTGTCTTCTAGTTTCAACTCACACACAGTCGCAGGGCATTGCTCCAATCCAGTCGACAAGTCCATGTTTAACCAAGAGGACAACGTCAGTTCATCCGTTTCCCTTTTGCGTCCTCGAGTCTCACCAAGACTGACGTTCCTCAATGTGCGCACTTTGTTACAGATTGGCCTACAGGCAGCACTTGCCCGCACACTAGAGACCCTATCGATCGATATTTGCTGTTTATCAGAAATCCGCCTGCAAGATTCGAGCGCCGTGGTTACCCTGCAATCCTCCACATGTGACAATGGCGGCACCTTTACATTACGTCTGTCTGGCGATGATGCAGCTTCAAATGCCGGTCAAGCTGACGTCGGCATATTTTTGAGTCCTCGGGCTGAAGCTGCCCTGATCGATTGGATCCCAGTCAACAGTCGGATGTGCGCCGTTATATTAGCTGTTTCTCTCCGTGCTACGAAGTTGCGCGGGGACAAACGGTGTCTGTTTGTCATTGCGGCCTACGCCCCTACAAACTGTAGCACAGATTCGGCAAAACATGATTTCTACCAACAACTTCGCGATCTCCTTCGTTACAGAAGAAGCACCGGATACTGTGTTGGCTGGCGATCTAAACGCTTAAGTCGGAAAATTGTCCTCTGATGAGCTTCATCTGGGCGGCCAACATGGTGTAGGCTCCCGTAATGAAAACGGTGAGCGATTGCTACATCTGTGTGAAGATACTCGTCTGTTTCTCGCGAGTACAAACTTTCGACACAGCACCCGCAGAAGCGTGACGGCGCCCACTAGTTTCGCACCAGCCATGGACGCAAACCGATAATATCGTGATCAGTTGCCGCTGGAGAGGTTGTGTCCAAAACTGTCGCTCGATTTGGAGCACGAGCGTGGACTCTGACCCCGCACTTGTCTGCGCCGACTTCCGGATGTGTTTCGGTGGACGTTCGTATCGTCGATGTGAACGGATTGACACCAGCCAGCTGGTGAAGCCAGGTGTTCTGAATGTGTGCCAAAGTGCGCTGACATCCGAGCTGATTAAGCGCCCACTGAACACCGTCGAAGATCACTGGTCGCATATTCGTCAGACGTTACTATCAGCAGGCACGTCTTCACGTGGCAAATCAAATTGCCACACTGGACATTGTGTCTCTACACAGTCCCTGGAACTTATGGATGTTCGCCGACGTATTCCGGCTGGAAGCGAATGCAATGAGGCTCGCAAAAATCTCAGGGCAAAACTACTTGCTAGCCTGAAGAAAGACCGCGAAGCCTGTTGGTCTCATCGTGCCTCGGAGATGGAAACAGCCTGTACCGTTGGCAATCATCGTAACTTATTCCGTCTGATACGAGAAACAGGCAGCAGGAGACCTGGTGTTAGCGAGACCATACGCGACGAGAGTGGGTAGCCGATCCACAGTCTGTCAAAACGCTTGGTGCGTTGGGCTGAACACTTTTCAAGGCGATCTGACCAATCTGAGTTATCGGTTTCTTTCTCGGGCATTGAGCGCCCTTCTCCCTGGGCCGTCTTCTTGGATCCGCCCTCACGCGCAGAAGTCGAAAGTGAGATCAGGCTGTTAAAATTGCATAAGACAGCAGGGTTAGATAGAATTCCCCCAGCCCTTTTCAAATTCAGGGGATCTGGTCTATTAGATGATTTGCACGAGTTGCTAATGAAACTTCATTGGCCCATTCTGCTTACTCTCCATAACATTCTAACTCAGGTGTTTGCTTTATAACTTCCATGCCATAAGTTTGAACCTCCTCTCTTATAGACGAGTCTGAGCACTCTTGCGGCAGCGCAGCCCCCTTGCGGTTGCATGACAGCAGCCATCACACATAATGCTGGTGTACCATATTTATTTGCTTCTGCCGATTCGTATTATTCACTTGTTTACCAAACGGTCATCTTGGTGCATGTTTGCCGATCCTGCTTCTAGGTGACCAAACTGTTGGCTTTCATTTCAGTAAGACGGAGGCTATTCATGAGAAAGACGAGGCACTAATTCGAGTTAGCGCATGGTAAATACCATTCGTCTTGTTTCATCATTCGTCCGAGACTTATCTCACTTAGCGCATTATAAGTACTAACATCCCTTTTTCAACTTGTTTCTTCTCCGCATTTACCTCTAACTACTCTCCATATTCCTTTTATTATTGTCTATTCAGCTTTTCCCGCGCCTTTCGCACTGTTGTTTGTTAGTCCTGCCGTAGCGGTCTGAATAACCGCGACTAGATCTGCCTCCCTTCCGTGCTTTGGTTCGCTGAGCTAAACTAACATCCGTACATAGATCGTTCGCCGTAGTCATCTCTCAGTCAGGCAGGCTTCCACGTGCCTGGAAAAGCACCAGACAACCGTTTCGACCTACTGGGTCTCGTCGACGGTTCGCGCTCCTCGGACCCCTGCTAGGTTCCGACCCCATAACTTCCGGATGGCATTAGGTCGTACCACTAAGCCATAGTTGACGGCTAAAGACCTGTAAGACTGACAGTTGACAACGATGTAGTGCGGCTCATCTTTTACTGTCATGCACAGTTACGAACTGGGAAGGAGGATGTGCCGCGTTATAACATAATCAACTGTCAATCATACAGGTCTGCCGCCGGCACCCATTATTTAGTGCTATTAACTGATGGCATCTGGAAGTCATTTGATCAGCTGTCTGGTGCTTTTCCAGGCATGTGGGAGGCCGGTAGCCGAGTGGTCTGCATGCCTGGCTTGCAATCCTAAGGTCACTGGTTCGAATCCTCGTGTGTGCGCGTCCTCGCTGTGTACTCAGCCCGCGAGCAACTGGTGGTGGTCGCGCGGCAACGAAACACCGTTACGACGTACAGCTGACACATTATTCATTATTATTATTATTATTACTATTATTATTATTATTATTATTATTATTATTATTATTATTAATTTTCTCCCTGACTGAGAAGTGACTGCGATGAACTACATCTAAATTGCACAAAAATCTCCACTACTTATTTTTAATCTCTCTATATCGTCTGCAGTGTCGCACTATTGTCTATTGACATGCTGCGTTCGTAATCCACCTGCCAACTACAGCACTCAGTACTTGGAGTGTGAGTGTGCATTTTGTGATGCGCTTTATGTCGGGTCGTGCATGACAGTACCGGACTGTATTCTAGGTTACCGTCACCGCGGTTTCGCACGCAGTGGCATTTTTTTAGGTTTACCTTGCCTACCAGATTTGTGTGTTGTGTTAAACTGATTGTGGAGTGTAGTGTTCATCGATGACGTGCAGATGTATCACACGTTTGTTTTGCTCCTTTCAGGTTTCCGAACTGTGAGCATCGACGTAAAATGAGTGTTTCTTGGGGGTACTACCATATCGTGTGTATGACCTGTCTTCTTGCTTTCTCGTTTTTCCATTTAGCTCCAGTTTGCTGTGCCAGGTACTCTGTGCTTGCGTTATTTCCTGGTTTCCTGCTGATGTTGCTCTGCTACAACCCGATTTCTATCTTACTTGCAGCACTTTATACGGATCCTTAATTTCAAACAACTGTACGCAACTTGATGGATGAGTTTGTTCGGGACCCGTGGTACGTTACAACTCACTGTTCCGTTCCTTTGTGTTGTGCCGCGTCTCGCATCAGCCTTCTATTTGGTGGTTGAAATGAATATCCCGTTAACTATCGAGACTCTAGCCATCGTCCATCTAACTACTGATGGCACGCGATTCAACGTCTCCCCCTCCCTTGTTTCTCCTTACCAGAAAGGTTATAACCGCCTACCTTAAACAATCAGAACACTAGTTGTGGTTTGAAACTGTCTTTTGCTCAATGCGTGAAGTTAGAAGTTGTGATAGTTTTCTGCTCCTATCACAAGTTTGCTAATCGTTCTTTTCACGCGAAATTAGTTCAGTACAACAGTTATTATCCTAGCATCGGCTGTCATGAATCACATCGCCGGCATATCAATAATTAAAAATAGCTAGGAAAATACTGCAAAAGGGTCTAGGGCTAGGAAATAGATAATTAAAATTACCCGCGAGGAGCTTCCACTTTCAGCGTTTTGCTGGGACTGATAAAATGAGGGCCATGCGTGCGCGCACCAAGGCGTGTTATGAGTCCGGACATCTACTCTTCCTCGGTTGTGGATTTCACACTGGCTTGCACTGACGAAATGTATCCATTCAGGATCCATACAATCGTGGATTTCGTTAGACAAAAATGAGATATTGTGAACTTTAGTGTTTGAGATATTTACAAGCATTTGAAGTCACTGATGATTATTGATTCCCTCCTTTACGTCTCACTGGTGCTTTTATTCTCAGATTTGTATCTATTTTCGTTTTCCTTCTCTCGTGTTATCGACCACTTGTCTTTACATTGCGGCATAGTTAAAGAGGGTTGGTGCGCTGTTCATAGTTAAACAACCGTGCTATGCTGTATCGTAGGGGCTTGTAGATGTAGCCAGTTTATCCTACCACTTTGAAACCATCGCAATAAGGCTGGATCTTACCGTGGTGCGATGGTTTGCGTGCCTCAGAGATCCATTGAGCTATGCTGGGTGGTGTTTTTTTGCATCTTCAGAGCCAATCATACCAGGTTGGTCAATGGTTAGAGGCCTGACAAACTCAACCTACTGGTCCTCCAGGTTGGGGGTTGGAATGAGGGTGGCTCCTTATTCCATAAAACGACCTCTCTGTAGTCCATTGCCAAACCCCCGCTGCCTTGTGGTAAGGTTTTTGAACCCAACGCTTTGGTGTTGAACCTTAATCGTTCTTCTGTCTAGGCCTGGGCATTCTGGCAGTATTCTGCCATCGCGATACAATGAATCTTTCCTCTAATAATTTTTTGATGCTCTGGGCATCTCAGTGTGGATATGGATATGAATGCTACTGCTCAGGCCTTCGCCTCTCCTTACCCCTCTGCTTGTGCTTCTCCGTCGTTATCGTCTCACTCTAACTTTACTCCCCCCCAATTCTTAGCCCTCACCCACCTTGCTTCAATAGTCGCTTGTCTTCTAGTTTCAACTCACACACAGTCGCAGGGCATTGCTCCAATCCAGTCGACAAGTCCATGTTCAACCAAGCAGACAGCGTCAGTTCATCCGTTTCCCTTTGGAGTCCTCGTGTCTCATCAAGACTGGCGTGCCTCAATGTGCGCACTTTGCTACAGCTTGGCCTACAGGCAGCAATTGGCCGCACACTAGAGACCCTATCGATCGATATTTGCTGTTTATCAGAAACCCGCCTGCAAGATTTGAGCGCCGTGGTTACCCTGCGACCCTCCACATGTGACAATGGCAGCACATTTTCATTACGTCTGTCTGGCGATGATGCAGCTTCTATTGTGACACCCAGGACGCCTTCACCCCACGACCGCAAGAAGAAGTCCAAGATGAGCCGGGATGAACAGATTTTCTATTACAGCACGGCACCAGTTATATAGCTTTACAACCAAGGGCGAATCCAAGCTACTAAACGCATAAGATCCAACAGGCATGGAGAAAACACAAAATGGAACAAGCAAATGAGAATCGCGAAAATTACGAGCCAATGAAGTGCGGCAAAGAAAATAGTGTCTGCGGAGTTAATCCCTGGGGGTAATCTTCTGGTGAGCGACCATTAAAAACGACGAGTAGCGTCCAATCAGTGTGGAGAAGTGATGCGTTTAAACAAATGTTAGAACAGTTGATAGTGAGAATGATACACACCAGGAAAATAAAAACAGGTATAATAAATATGTATCGGCTGAATAATACATCCACGTGAAAAAGCTAAGGAACGCTTAGCAAAAGAAACTAATCAGAATGTCCACAGAATGAGACGGCTGAAATTAGCTATGAGCGATTGCGAATGAGGCTGAGGAAAGCGGCGTGTCCAAAATGTAGCAGAGAAGCAGGTAACTGCGCAAACAAAGAAATAGGCAACTAACATAATTCATGAAATTGAGGGTTAAGTTGCCAGCTCCCTAACATCTCCCCCTTCTAAAAAGTTAGTTACCTGTACGGAACATAGCTTTTCCGACGCGGGTCCACTTGAAATGGCTGTACAAATTTTCTTGTTCGTTGGGGTATGTTCCGACCTTCTTGTTTCGGGCATTCCCTTGGTTGAAATTCTCGGTTTGAAGAAGCACTTGGTTTGCCATTGTTAAGCAACTCATTAACATCAAATCTGTTGACATTCTGAACATCACCTTCCAGTGTACACCGCGGTTTCAGCTGATTTGCGTGACGTCTCCATACCTGCGCACCAACTTGAACATCGTGCATCACCCGTCCCCGACGTCGCACGATGCGTCCTGGTATCCAGCTGATCCGCCGTCCCTGAATAGCCGCTGCAGATACAAATTCGCCAGCTCTGAACATCCTTCTCCGTGCTCCGTACCGCCTGTTGTATTGCTGCTCCATTGCTAAGTTCCTTGTTTATGGGAGAGGACGCCTGGGTGTCAGCAAATCCAGTGTAGTTCTCAATCTGCAACCCATTAGGACTTCAGCTGGTGACTTCCCATCGGGTACATTGGGATTGAGAGTCACTCGATAATTCAGTAGGAACCGCTCCAGTCTTTCGTCCAACGTTCCCTCGCCTTTTGACTTCAAAAGTGCTCTTTTCAGGGTATCAACAAATCTTTCCGCTTGGCCATTTGACTGTGGATAATATGGTGCTGTCCTCACGTGCTCGATTCCATTTTGTGCGCAAAACTCGGCGAATTGATAGGACGTAAACTGCGATCCGTTGTCGGAAATAACGGTTTTTGGTAGGCCATGCTGACTGAATACATGTCTCATTTCCGAGATCGTGCTGTTTGAGGACGTGGTTTGCATCCGGATCACTTCCGGCCACTTACTGTACGCGTCAACCATCACAAGAAATTCCACACCCTCGACTGGTCCTGCGAAATCAACATGTATGCGCGACCAGGGAGATTCTGGATCCGACCAAGATTGCAATGACACACGCACTGGCAGTTTGGATGCACTGATGCATCTGGAACAGGATCGACCGATATCCTCAATTTGGCTGTCCATCATCGGCCAAAAGACGTAGCTGCGAGCGAGTGCCTTCATGCGGGCGATTCCTGGATGGCCCTTGTGCAGCTCTCTTAGTATGCGCTGTCTGAGCACTTCTGGAATGACTATGCGATCTGCGAAAAACAGACAGGAATCAACTTCCGACAATGCGCCTCGCCTTGTGAAGAACTGGGTCAAAGCTTCGTTCGGGCACTTCTTTGGCCATCCACTTCTTGTATAGGTTAATACTTCTTGTAGCACAGCGTCCTGTTTAGTGGCTTGCGCAACTATTAAACCATTCACTGGCAAGTTACACACTGCGTCTTGTATCATGTAGCTGACGTCCGATTCGGCTGCAATGAATGCAATGACTGCGTCTTCTTGTTCGCGTCTACCGGTATTGATCAGTCTGGACAGGGCGTCCGCTTGTCCAATGGAATCAGTGAACAAATACCGCATGCCAAAATCATACCCCAGGAGCAGAGTTGCCCAGCGCTGAAGTCGACTGGCTGTATATGTCGGAATGCCTTTCTTAGATCCAAAGATTGCCAAAAGCGGTTTGTGAACAGTCACCAGCGTGAATCTTCTGCCATATATCATCTTGTGAAATCTCTGTACGACAAAGATGATAGCCAACGCCTCCTTCTCAGTTTGACTGTAGTTCTTTTCAGATGCGGTCAGCGCTCGTGCCACATGTGCCACAGCCTTTTCGGACCCGTCTGCAAAGCGATTTGAGATGACAGCACCAATTCCATAACTCGAAGCATGCGTAGCCACGACAATCTCCTGCTTCGGATTGTAATGCGTAAGGAGCAAATCTGATTTCAGCAGAGATTTGAGTTTGTCAAAAGCTTCTTGACACTGTGCGGACCAGTTCCATTCCACATCTTTCATCAACAAATGGTTTAAAGGATGAAGTAATCGATGCATGCAAGGTAGGAACTCACTATAATGACTCACCATCCCAAAGAATGAGCGCAAGGTTGTGACATCCGTTGGTGCCGGTAATCTGTCTATGGCCTCGATATTTTCAGGATCAGGCCGTCGACCATTCTCGTCAATCACGAAACCCAGGAACTTGATGGATTTCAGGAAAAATTTGCATTTGTCAGCTCGCAACCGGAATCCATATTCCTTAATTCTCATCATCACGTCATCCAATCGTTGAAACAATTCCTCCTGGGTTCCGCTCATCGAGATAGGCTGCTGCTCCCGTCAAGCCAGTCAACATAGCGTCCATAACTTGTTGAAAGATTGCAGGTGCAGTTTTTACTCCAAATGGCAAACGATTATACTGGTAAAGGCCGCGATGCGTGTTGATTGTTAGAAGCTTTCTGCTTTCCGGTTCGACCTGCAGTTGCAAATAAGCGTCTGCCAGATCCAGAGTAGCAAAGTACTTGCCTCCATTCAGCTTTGCAAACACGTCGTCTGGGAGTGGAAGCGGGTACTGATGGGGTTCTAGTGCAGCATTCAAGCCGGTTGAAAAATCTGCACACAAACGAACTGAGCCATTCGGTTTTCTGATCACAACGATAGGCGCCGCCCATTGTGAGAAACTGACTTGGTCGATCACTCCGGCCTGCTG